GATACAACTACTGTTAAATTGAATGAAATCCTAATAAACAATGGTTTTGTTCCCGAATGGGTTCTTCTCGAACGTGATATAAGGGATCAGAAGAATGAAATGAAAGCAAAACTCATTTCACTAAAGAGTGAATCAAAATTAGATAACATTTCGTTTGTAAAGACATTGTTAGAAGAAAGGGTTAGGGATGTGAATAAAATGATAGACAAGTATAACTGTATTGTTCCCATTCTTCATAAACAACAGATTCACATAAATTTGCTGAAAGAGGTGAACAAAATCAAACAAATGGATGACACGAGGGGTGATAGCAGTGTTAATAATAATAATAATAATAATAATAATAATAATAATAATAGTTCGGTAATAATGAATTAGAAATTGATATTTCGATAATACAGGTATTTAATTGACAAACAATTATGTGATAAATGTCTGAATTATTGAACATTTGTTTGACGATAGAGTCGAAAGGGAAGAGAATTTGTTTTAAAAAATTCGTTGTTTTAAATAAAGTTATATATATTTATTATAATGTAATATAATGTAACTTATTTTATGTGATTATAAGTTATGATATAATATATTGATATTAATATTGAATATCACATCAAAAGAAAACACTGAATATCACAGCCTGTCCTCAGTATTGGGTGAATGACAAGCATTACAGCGAAAAGCCATTTATTCAAACGATTAGTAGATTAAGACAATGATCGATAGGAATGGAAGTATTTGTTAGTCAAATGTATGCCAATCATCTGAGACGGTATGCCAATCATCTGAAACGGCAGTAGACGACGAGAAAGTACTCGCAAAACCATTGGGTCTGTTCATTGCATCGCTTGTTGGCCGCAAAGACGGTTTAACTCTGTTTTGAGGAATAGTTAACTCTATTTGTTGAGTGTCTTTGCTCTCTGTGTTTGCCATCGCTTCCAAAGAACTGTTTTTGATTCCATAACAGAAATACATCGCAAGTCCTTAAAGAGCAGATAACGAATCGTTTGTATACTAGTAGTCAGGAAGTCATATCATAAGAGACATACCGGCGATCATCCAAACGGTAAACCGGACTAAAGTCAAGATCGAAAGCCTTAATATTAGATATATGTTAATGATTATGGCAATCGCAGGCACGAACGGCACTCCCGGGGCTTTAAATTTCAAATCGCACCTACAGTTCAAACAACGGTTAGGCGTCTTAAATTGTTCAGTTTTAGAAATTATTCAATGGTTTACCTGATCTGTGGCTGTCTGGAAATGGCTAGAATACAGCCAACAATAGCTACGAAAATTCCTCCGAAGAATAAGACAATAAGACGATTGTTGCTCCAATCGAGATAATTGATATAATAAGCCATAATAACATCGAATATGATAGTGAGTATAAAGAGTACGCCCACCAGTTTGACCACATGAAGACCTGTCTCTTCAGAAGCTGGTCCGTGAACTTTCCATCCGTACGGAAATAAATACATAAATAGTTTCTCATATTTGTCGAGAATTCCAGACCTAAGCCACGAAAAGCGCAGTTTTTAAAACTATTTTATTACTTCATACAGAATAAAAGCAACAATGAATTGATGGCAAACCTTCTGCCACTACTGCCCCCGTGTTGGTACGGAACGGATCCATAATGAAAGCCAGCATTTCCTGGCACTAAGAACTCATCGTCTTTGCTCTCTTGTCTGAAACAGTTTGGATCGGTTTCGTCACTTTCAGAGGAATCGCATCGATTCGTTCGTTTCGTATGAATTCGTTGCTCTTTATTAGTGATGAATGGTGTGAATTGGGGCGCAGACGGCGCGACTTGTGGCGCAACTTCTTTGACAGGTGTGGGACAGGCAGACCTAATGGATTGTGGCAATAGATCCACTAAATTGGTTTTTGATGGCTGATAACGGAGGAGTAGAACACATGTGGACACCTATTATCATATGAATTATTAATCAGAATATTCTGTTTAATGAAATTCTTTATAAGAAATTGATTAGAAAAATTGCATTAAAAATTATAATAATAGAAAAGTGAATAAAAATTTCATTACAAGAGTATATGCCATAAGGGTTCCGATTGACATCATCTCGACGAGTACTTCCAAAGACATAATGAATGAAATGAATGCTGTAAACGCTCCTAATATTAATGTGGCTTTGAGTGGAGTATTTGTTAGGTTCGAGATTTGTGCTAATTCTCTAAAAACCAGACCATCCTTTGCCATCGCATACACCACTCTTGGCATTGGGAACTGTAGGCAATTCATATACATTATCCATACTGACCAGTAAGTCTATACCACTATTTAAGTCTAATACCATTGAGCCCAGCATTGACACTAAAAGTCCTATTAAGCCAATGAAAATGCACATAATATTAAAGATTATATTAGATATTAAATAATTAATTTCAAACTATTATTATTTACTTCAAAAGCTTTAAATATTATTAACATGCTCTAATAAAGTTTACTTAATAACCATAATATTCTTCATAATTAGTAACAGGATTATAGTGAAAAGAATTAATATTTTAAAATAAATCTTTTAAGTTAATATTTTGAAAGCAAAACGAAATGAATATTGCAACGTTTATTAATCTCATATTTATTTTTTATTTAAAAAATGTTGCTATATTTTTACTATTAACTTAGAACACATTCTGTTAAAAGTTTTATTATAAGATTTCTACACTTATTATAGCGGTAATGAAATAGTCGTTTCATCTAACACTATTATTTCATCTAAGCTATTGTATTTTTAACTTCATATATTATTTAATCAGCATTCATTTTAACAGATAGACTTTTGTAAAATAAGATTAATAAGTTATCATACCTGCAAGCGCTCCAAAGGCGACAATCATTTTTAAATTGGGGGCTCCATTTTGTGCAAACATTTCAACCAGAGCTGAATCAGGGTCTATTTGGTCGTAGGGCACCATCAATGTTACAATCAAACCTATTGGTGTAAATTGGGAGTAAACTTAATGTGTGTATGTAATAATTGCAATTTGATTTAATTTAACATGATACACTTGAAATTGTGATTCTTTATGATCATCAAATATTCTATTAGTTAATTTAAATTTCATTAAAAAATAAAAATCTATAAATGTATAATGTTCTCAATTATTACGATATACGCTATGATATGATAATTTATTCTGTGTTACATTAATAAGATATCTTAATTAAATTAGGAAAATAAGTTAATTAGAATATTAATACTCAACATAATTATATAATTTATCTGCAATTTAAAAATATTAACAAACGTTTTGAAATAATTTCCCATAATTACTAGTTATTTAACAATTGATTTACTGATATTAATTGTAATTTTTAGTTGTATTCAATGACAAGAATGTCATGCTAAAGATTAGGCCTTTAATATAATTAAGATTAATACAGTACAGGATTTTGTGACAAAATGGATAAAGACTATTGACAGGACTATAACTTCATATTAAGAAATAAAAACAAATAAAATTAAGATCCAAAACCACTGAACTAAACCAACTCAAAAAAATATTTCTGAAATTTGTGAGATAAGACACATGTAATGCTTTTACTACTGAATCTAAATTATTGTCAACCTCTCTTTCTCTCTTTCTCTCTCTCTCTCCCCATTTTCTTTCCTCTAATTCTCAATTGTCTACAAATTAATAACAGACTTATGATGTGAACAGAAGTGTTGTGTCAAAAGTAGGAAAAAAATTA